AACTAAATATTCGATGTTACATACATGAAGCGAACTGCGGCGGTTATGTGGCTAAGACGAAGAACATGCGACAGGACTATTATGTTCGTCTACTACACGTGCGAGTAACTTTCCGATAAAAACGTCATTAGTATCAGCAATAATTTCTAGTACTGCATGGAGAATTGCGTATTATTAGTTGTTTTCAGACATATCCTTGTCCAGGATTTTTTGAACAATGTCTCACATTTCCGAAAAAATATTCGAATACTAGTTGGGGCATAGACCTTAGAATATCTATTAAGGTCTATGGTTGGGTTGAATATGAATTAAATACTTAGTATCCATATGAAAAATCAGCGAAACAGTTCACAACCACGATTATGGTGAATTGGCGAATTTTCAACAAAGACAACGGCTCCGGTCAGTCATGAAGTCAAAATTTTACAATGTTGAACACTACTTTTAGTTCTTGACATTGTGAAATTATTTCGATTTTTGGGAGAAAAAAAAACTGAAAAAAAAAATGATTTTGACAAGATAATTCAGAAATTTATATTAAGAATAATTCATTGCACCCATAAATTATTTTCATAATTACTGATTACACTCGAATATTACAGAAAAAAAGATAATTTGCTATATCCTTGTTTGCACGTCATGTTCACAAAATTATTTGTAAGGGGTGCCCTTTGAAATGGCAAATTTTCTCGATGTTTTAGTGAGTACTCCGCCGGGTATAAAGCGAATTTTCGCACTAGCATAATTTTGCTCGAGTTCACTCATCGATTTCTCACATGCACAATGCGTTTTAAAATAGCATAATTATATTGCGTGAGTGGCTGGTGAGACTGTTTCACAACGCGTTCTATTTATTTCCAACGCGCGTGGCCGGCGCGTTTATTTTGTATTTTTATTTTCGAAATGTATCACTCGCTGCGTTTATTTTGTCATGTCTCGCAACTGAACGTCCAAGCTGACTTTGTTTTGGCTGTACATGTAACATTAAAAAAAAATTACTACATAGTACCACACTGCTGATACGTGTGAGTGTTTATTACTTTATTTTGCACTTTTAAAATGAGGGATTGTACGTCGGGCTTCCCAATGAAGCCGCGAAAGGTGCGTTCCTAGATTCTGCTGAGTCAGACCATGGAGTGCCTCCTTTTTGGCAAATACTGTATTCCTCTTTGATCATGTTGATAGGGCAATTTACGTCGACAACATCAGATTGAAATTTGCCGCCTTGTTTGAACAAGTGCCTCGGAAGTACTATTGAATAGCCCATTAGAAAAATCCATGCCCCGACCAATCAGATTTCATATTTTATTAATGGCGTATTCCCATTACCTGCCTCTTTGAGCTTGTGCGTAGAGGCGGGGACCAGCCAAAACCAACCCGTGCTTACACTGAAGGGTTAGAAAGCACAAATATCGCGTGATAAGGCGCGAGTTCAAGGTGCGTGATCTTTTAGCTTTCTAACAGTGAAAATGGTACGAAATTTTGACCTTTTAAAACGTGTTTAGGGTCATTTTGAAAACCCCTTTCACAGACATGGGCTCCTGGTATTTCCACAAGTCTGACACCCGAGCGACTCTCCCGCTTTAAAGTGTAAAAAATAAGTATATTTGACCGAGATTCCTTCACTAACGGATGCGCCTTTCAGGGAAAACATTGCCAAAAAAATATTACGTTGACTACTACAAATGTATTTTGAAAGATCTCGTCACAAGTTATAAAAAAAAGTACTGGTGGCGGTCACAATATGATATTATCATCGCAGGTCAACCCTTGTGTCACTATGTTTTTCGCGTGGATCCAATAAAAGTTAGCGACAGTCGCAAGAGGGCGTGGTAAAACGTCAGCGTTAGATGATGACCGTAACGAAAGTGTCTGCATCATCGGTGAATTCTACACATTCCCACAAATTGTAAACTCAATACTAAACAGCAAAGATATATAATATGATCTCAATCTACGTGTATGTTTCATCGGCGGATTACACACACACTCCCACAACATTTTATTTCCTTGTAAACTCAATACAATACAAAGATGCATGACATGGTCTCAATCTACGTTTATGTTTCATTAGACGAGAAAGTAAGCCCTTTTTCATGTACGGTAATACACCAAACAAGATGTTTACGAAAATCAAAACATTCAACTTCACTTGCTGGCCCTGCTGAGTGCTCTTTCTAACGGTGTCAGCCCACCACTTCAAAACTAGTTGAATTTCAATAAAATTCAACTCGCAAAAAAAATTGAATATACCACGTATATCTCTTGAAAAAGCCACACGATTTCGTGTACATCGGAAATTCCACTCTCCACGATGTGCAGAAGCAATCCGAAACATTTAACACCTATTTTCAATTATATTGATTGCAAATGCAATAATTTTAACAGATCTAGCATTGGCAGCTTTGTATTTTGAATTTTTGCAACAAAAATTAGGCAAACATTCACTGAATGTCAGTTTTAATAGTAAATTTTCAGATCACAATAATCCTGTGATTTTGCGACAGACAGCCTTTCTCAACAAGGTACCACCAAAAAATAACATACACTGATTCTTATTGATCCATTAAATCAAAGTAATGCTGCCTTGACCAATCAAATCATTTCTCTTATAGGGCAACTTCAATCTGTTATATATGCTTGGGTTGTGGCAATATCCTTTATCTATTCAGTGATTATTCATCGAGACGCAATTGACTGAAGATTATAAACTTGCGTTTTGTCATTTTGTCAACTTCATCAGTTGCTTTTATGCGGGATGCAGGTGACATTAAAACCCATCTCGATGCACAGTGATAATGTGGTTGACTTGGCAGGGATAAACAGTACACTGTTGACTGACTTTAGATACAGTAATAGTATACATATGAGCTCATATTGGAATAAATGTACCATATTGTAAAAGTAAAAATTAAGACGTGTATATTTATTATATCTGTAGACACCAAGCGTTAATATGTGAGACAAATAAACATACCGGTACATGTCAAATTTTGAATTATTTTGTAATATTATAATTTTGTCGGTAAATTGTTAAAGCTTCAGTCTGCTCACAACACACATAAATGATCTATCATTCAACTTTTACACTGCCTTAATAGCTAAGAGTCAAATATGTTTAGCCACCGTGACTAATGCACCATCTTTTTACCTCATGTAAAAACATAACTATTAGTGCAGTCAAATTTGAAATCATATATAAAATGTTCTGTGTGTAAATATCCCGGTAAGTAAATCTAGTTAATCCTTTGATCGCCAAAGTCAACATTTGTCGCTTCTCACAAAATAGTTCTACATACCGTATGTGCATATTAATTAGGTAATTTGCATATAATTAACATTTGATCGCCAGTCAACTTTTGTCACCATTCACTAAATAGTTCTATATACCGTATGTGCATATTAATTAGGTAATTTGCATATCATTAACATTTGATCGCCAAAGTCAACTTTTGTCGCTTCTCACAAAATAGTTCCACATACCGTCTGTGCATATTTATTAGATAATTTGCATATCATTAACCCTCTGAGCACCAAAGTCAGCTTTTGTCACCATTCACAAAATAGTTCTATATACCGTATGTGCATATTAATTATGTAATTTGCATATCATTAACCCTTTGAGCACCAAAATCAACTTTTGTCACCATTCACAAAATAGTTCTATATACCATATGTGCATATTAATTAGGTAATTTGCATATAATTAGCATTTGACCACCAGTCAACTTTTGTCCCCATTCACTAAATAGTTCTATATACCGTATGTGCATATTAATTAGGTAATTTGAATATCATTAACATTTGATCGCCAAAGTCAACTTTTGTCACTTCTCACAAAATAGTTCTATATGCCGTATGTGCATATTAATTAGGTAATTCGCATATCATTAACATTTGATCACCAAAGTCATCTTTTGTCACTTCTCACAAAATATAATCCGCTAAATGGTGCACCAAAATTCCGCCAGAAAAATTTATGGTGTCCAAAAGTGAAACATTGGTGCCATGGACTGACTGTATATAAATATACTACTGTAAAATGCATTATTTATTCACAAGGTTTTTATTTCGTTATTTTCACTGATAACAATAATCTGTTATTAAATTCATGTGAACATTTAAAATTACAGTGGAATTCATTGTTTTCCTGGCAAATTCACAAACTTGAAACTCAATAAAATTGAAAATAAATGATATTATAGGATACAGTATTGTGACGTTTTGGGGACTACTTTATTGCATGCATCAGTATACATACTTTTGCAATGGTGTTATATGTCGCCTGATCACCCAAGTGTATTGATATGTAATAAGTAGTGCCGTTGGAGCAACTGAAAATGGCGGAATAAACAAAAAGTTAAACTTAAAGTTGAAAGCTCTCTGGTTTATTTGATGTTTTGTGTGTTCCTGAGCCAACACATCACAAATATTATTATTTTCTAGTAGTCATGATAATATAGCTTGATGTGAACAAGAGCTTTTAAAACAAAATGCTACTTGTACAAGTACTACTTGCTGAAATCATATAATTAGAAAAAGTCTACTGTATGCCTATGCTAACGCTGGAGTATACAATCTTGGCTTAGCAGTGAAACGCTTCGTATTAATTTCAATTTCGTAGTGTCCATCTATTACATAGTCATTTGTAACGAGTTGACGTACACCAGTTTGTTTGTGCTTATTCGTCACCCATCCAATACATATCATTTTGTTTAGTGTGAAGCCACATCCAATTGATGTAGTCAAGCCAGTCATCTGCCCATTACGATAGATGGCCTCACCACCCCACGGCCATAGATCCTTGTCTCTATCATGATCGTCCAACAGAAACATAGCGAGGCGTCGTTTAACACCTTCATTCTTCTTCTTTGATAGTTCCGTTTTACCAATGAAATTTGAAGCCTGAAATAGTTAGAGTGATTGGAATTAGTGAATTACTTGTGCAACTTAAATACAGCATGCTCTGTATTTCTTTCAAATCATGAGAGTTCGCTTCTCATAAAATCTATATTGCATATCACTGTACATGTGGTGGTGAATGTTGCATACCGTTGATGTTATTTAATACTAGAAGGTACTTAACAAAAATAACTCGGGTAAATAGAAAACAAATTTATTTGTTGTAATGACTACTATGAATGGAAAATTTTGTTGATGTCACAGTGTTCTATTTTACATGGACTGTCTTGCATACGCTGTGAGACGATTCTGCTTGTTTGTGATAATTGCTCCACTTAGCTTTTTTTTAATTTAAACCAATTTTTTGGATCGAAAATGAATTATTTTTACCACAATCTGTAGTTTTCAAACCATATACATGAATATTTAAACATAGAAGCTCTGAACAAGCTTCACGTAGTGCATACAATGAAAAAAATTCGACATTATGTGATGTTACATGAAATGTATTTCCTATCTGTTCTGTGTTACATGGAGATACACATGTTATGCATTTGATAATATAATATAATAATAATAATAGAGTTTATTTAAAATAAAAACAATAAAAACATGTTAAGCCATAGGCTTATCTCAAACATGGTCTTCAAAATTTAGTACAAAATACAGAAATTAATAATACATTTTTAAATAAAGAAGTACAGATATAACATAACAACTCAATTTTTGACATGAACCATTTAAAATAGGTACTTTTAAAAGCTCCAATTGAGTCACTATCATGAATTGGTAGAGGTATTTTATTCCAGAATTCAGCAGCCGAGAATTGGAAGCTATCTGAATATACTTTTAATAATTTTACCAGGAGCCAAGTGTAACTTGAAACTGTCTGAATTTCTGGTATACCTAGTGCTGACTTCTCTGACCTATTTAAACATTTGTCTCATATAAGTTGGAGCAAGATCGTTTAATGATTTACAGACCATGACACAGCGCCGGTAATCAACCCTATCCATTACAGTCAGCCATTTGGAACTATGGCACAAATTACGTTTTGAAAGTTAATAGTTTGCATTTGTGGTCAATGCAAATGTCTCATGGTGCAATGCATAAAACAATGAAAACAAAGATACATTACTATCATAATAAACAAACATCAATACTTTTTTTTTTAAAACAAATGCCCCACACCAAAAGGTAACTGGACTAAAATTGAACCATCTACACTTACCTTGAAGTCAACTTTGAACTCTCGCCCGATTTCAAAAGGTGTGTGGGTAGAATTAAAATCCTGTCCCATAAATGCAAAGAACTTTTCGATTCGGAGGTAACGTAGGGCGTAATATCCAACGTTGCGAATACCGAAGTCTTTACCAACATCCATCAATAGATCATACAGAGAGAGAGCAAACTGGAGGAGAAAAAAAAAACATAGCGATAACATTGTAGTCTTGCCAAATATTCATAGCTGCTGTCGTGGAAACAGTGTCAATCTACCACCAAAATGTGCCCAGTAATTATCTTTCACCAAATATACTATTTTTCCTCAGAGATGTCGTATATTCGCTAACCAATACACGAACTCTAAAGTTTATAATTAGAATTTAATTAACCTTTCCACCACCTGACTTCCTCGCTCAAATTATTCTGCACTTTTTTCTTGTATTCTTTTATATTTCTGGAAATGAACCCTGATTTTGGAGCCAACAAAATTTGAGTCAATTTTCAGGTTTTACTCTTTTTTTTTCTTAGTCTTCTGAAGGAACGGGACTATCGGTATTTTGTGAATTCATGATGAAAAGAGAGAAGTGATGGTGAAAAGGTTAATGAAATAAGCTCAGTATAAACTCTGATGAAATAAGTTTCAGTATAAATTGCACTGTATACACTTACCTCATTGGGTATGTATAACATCCAGCCTAGTTCACCAGAATGTGTCATAGCCAATGCCTTGATACCGCTAGCATAACCAGCAGATATCTCCTGTTGAAATAATAAAAATTTTAAATAAAAACAGAAAAGATGCAGCAACAGTTAACAGTGATACCTTGCCATTGGTCATAATACCTTGCATGTAAATGGTTTGAAATCAGTACTGTTCAACGATGTTGATGTGATTTGTTGTAATAATTCTCTCGACTTAGGTCCCATAACATTCAGTGCAGTATAACGTGATGTTGCGTCAGTTACGGTAATCGCTGCTTGCTTGTCCTCTGGTATATGTTTTGTTATCCAGGCAAAGTTACGAGTTACTTGATCAGATGGTGATATAATGAAATAACTGAAATTGAAAAACAGAATTCAGCAAAATAATTTTACACCTGTACTGATATGGTAACTAAATACTCACTAAATTATTACACAATAAAAGATTTTCATTACGAATAACAGTAATTACTCACAGGTTGCATATACACTAACTATATATTGACGTTGACTACCAAAATTTGAAAACAACGCTAAGATAACATGCTGTCTACCTTGCATAAATTAGCACACGATTCCCAGACAGATTACAATTTCTATGCTTTTCAGGTACAGTGCTGACTGATGCTTTTGTTATGGGCTGTAAATTCATCTCCGGTTCAACCCAGAACGTCACTAGTATCAACCAACTCTACAAACACATAATATTATACTGCATCTAATTAGCTAATGCAAATTTAATGCAAACTGAATTCTCAAGTACAATAAGCACCTCTAACTTACTGGTTATGAGCAAACCGTGCTACGCTGCAGTCAGTTTCATAACATCCATGCCGATTTAACATGGCAGTATGTACTACATTACCCACAGGCATGTCCATCTCATTTACGCATAAATGCTGCAGTAATTTGGTAGCTTCATTGCCTGCAGACTGGAAAGTATAAGATTATGAAGATGATACATCTGTCAATGTATTTTCACAATGATGTAACTTGGCTATAGACTGGGATATCTGCACCATACCTTATATAGGAAATGTATGTTCTAAATAAGAAATGATGATGCAGTATTTTCAATATGGCAGACTGAAGTATCCTACCGTATTAGGAAATGTGCATTCCAAATAAGGAATGATGATGCAATATTTCCAATATGGCAGACATATTTATACTACCTTATTAGGAAATGTGCATTCCAAATAAGGAATGATGAAGCAGTATTTCCAATATGGCAGACAGATGTATCGTACCTTATTAGGAAATGTGCATTCCAAATAAGGAATGATGATGCAATATTTCCAATATGGCAGACATATTTATCTTACCTTATTAGGAAAGTGCATTCCAAATAAGAAATTAATAGACATGGTTACTAGATGAAAGTTTAGGAAACTCTATTTTTAGATATGCTAATTATCGATTGAATTAACTTTGATGTTTTAATCAGAATATATATTTACTTCAGTGTTCATATTCATAGCAAATTCTGACAATGATGTATAAATTGTAAAAATTTGATAGAAAAAAAAAATTACAGAAAACTTCCATTGATGGAATTGTCTTGAATACGTAATTTTATGCAAATTACGATCATTGCATCATCGGCAGTATGCTAATTCCCTTTGTTTTAAATGTTCACGAGACACGTATCCTAACAAAAGAACGAGGAGAGTTTCCTAACCATTCTTCCAGTAACCAAGTAATAGACTAATTAAAATTTAATCACTATGTTGACAAAAATGGTCACAATTTCTGCCATAAATATTGATAAACTATGTGACATGGATGTGCAAAAAAATGGATAAGACATATTTGAAAATTAATATCTTGTGAGAATAAAGCTAGTAATACAGATTCTTTTAACTTATAAAAAGTTGATTACCTTAATTTCAAATTTAGAGAATGATGACATATCCAGGACACCAACAGCTTCTCTACAAACCTTGTACTCTGATTTCACTATTTCATACCAATTGGGTTTACAAAATGTACCTTTCTCGCTATTATTCTGCAGTAGAAAATCATCAGCTACAGATAAACAAATATCATAATATTAACATGTGAGCAGAGATAAAAGTTGAAATAAATGAATAAATTTGAATTAAAAAGGATAATCGATAGCGGTATACAGGAAATTGAGTAGATATGTCAGGACACCCTCTATGGCCAACTCACAATGTCCTCCATGGCCAACTAACATACAGAGAGGGCGCTATGCCCTGTTAAATGACATATTTTAATTCAGGGCGCTTAGGAGCTCAACCTCTAAGTATTACTCGCTTTTATAGCAGTAAAGTGTTAAGCATACATGTCTAATGGATTTGTTTTTGTTAATTTGTATCTTAACTACAAGTCATTTTACTAACTTGACTATAGCCATGATAAATTCTGGATGACACAGTTTCAACAATTCATTAGACACAAAAAAACTTTTGTATTTCTAGTATGCTAGGGAGACATGAAATTGACAAAACAAATAAGTTTGCTAAATTTTTATATGATCTAGAAACTAAACAGTCAAAATGAAGCATTAATGAACCTTTTTATCAGTTTATGCCATATACACTGGGGTGGCAGCTGGTACAAGTTACAGGAAATAAAAAACGCAACATTTAATGTGGAAAATGCTTTATACTCTTACAAAAAATAAGATCTTTGTACAAATTACAGACTAATAAAATAGCTGATTACATTTTACACTTTGCCCATGTCTACGAATTTATGTTTTTTAATTATTTAAATTACATTATTATAAAAAACAAGCCATGCATGGCACAGTCCCCGTTAGTTATCAAATTTAAGATATATAGTTTTGTTTATAGTAATATAGCTGGAATATAACCATGTCAGGAATATGATTTTTTAACATTAAAATGATTGATATTTGTATCTGATCGTCAAACAAGTACTTGTCCATATTGAGAGATATTGCTCTGGAACAGCATTCAAAATCCGCCATTTTGAATACATGTATATATATATATATATATAACATTATGTATAACGAATATATAAAATTTTAATATAATCAGTATAACGAATATATAAAATTTTAATATAATCAGTCAAAGCCATTTTGAATCTGATCTGAAAAATAAAATGACGTGCATCAGGAACCTGTAATGTCTAATGTATGTACCAAGTTTGAACGAAATCAATTCATAAATGCCAGAAATGTTTGATATTTGATGATTTTTTAGCACAAAAATGACCACCATTTGGCCATCTTGAATCAGATTGGAAACAAATTGACGTGCATATGTATAATAGCATGTATGATGTATGTGTGAAGTTTGATTGTGATTGGTCCATGCATTTCTAAGATGCAGGTCCGGACGCACACACGCACGCACGCACAGACACACAGAGGTCAAAATATAAGTCTAATAAAAGCAATTAATTACAGCTTACGAAAATACCCCTTGCCAAACGTCATGTACGATTTTAGGTCAAAGGCAGAATGTTTACCAACATATGATGGAAAGAAAGTATACTGTGAGGTGTACAACCATATGTGTATGGCAGAAATTCTTGTACCAGTACATATACGTATACATGTATATATATAGTCTAGATGTGGGATGTGGGAGTCGATTATTCCAAAACAAAAGTGCTCAATACAAAGTATATGTAGAGCGGATAAATACAGTAATAGAGGAATTAATACACAACTACATGAATATTGAAACTCGACAGCACTGTTTCGTAAGGTACAAGTACCTCATTCATCAGGAACTTTATGTTTAATAATTCACTGCACCAACGAGCATACATTATAAACTTTGCAAATTAACATATTAATTAAAAATAAAAAACACACAGGTTTAAGTGTTACATAATAAGGCTTTTGATCTGTGTCGGCATGATGATACGAGTTCATTTCTTTTATTTAGTGTGGAGTGGTGAGGTCTAAAAATTATGATAAATTTTCCCTTAACTGTTAAATACAGTTAAAAACAGAATTATTCATACCCCTACTGAAATTTCAATGTTTTGTGTTTTTCTGGAAAACAACAGGTGGATACAGAATATTTTGGCCGTAGTTGGATATCTTTACTTGAAAGGTAAAAATTCTGAATGAGTTTTGTACAACCTCATTTGCATAACAAAAAAGCATATTACTTTATTTGTATTCTGACTCACTCAAAATTATTCATACCCTTTGTTAAAGCATGGCATTTGGCCATATGCACCTGATATGCAAATGCTTCAGACAATCTGCATGTTGTTTTGTTCACATGTAAAGTTGTGTAGGCCAGTCTGAATAATTTCCAAGGTGGTAAGTGAGTTCTGGAATGCCATATATCATAAACCTACCATACTCTTCAGTTATGAACCAGTTAGCTCTTTCAAATCCCAGTTTTTCTCCAAATACCGCATTATATTCTTGAAGTCTTGGATACAGTGGAGAACATCGTAACTTTCTTCCATACTGGTATTCCTGATATGGGTACCTTATCTGATAATGCATACCTGAAAAAATAAAGTATTCTTCTCAATTGGTTTCTGTAACATGTTTTTATTAAGTACAGAGAATTCCATAAAGGCATGAATGTTTTGTTATGGAATTTTATAAAATATTTATAAAAAATGCTTCATTCAAAACCAAAGAATACAGAAACAAACCATTTGGTAATGTCCATTACTCATGAGAGCATGTATTTCTGGGTTTTTCTCAATAATTCGTTGTTTACTGTTGTAATAAGTATAACTGATTTTAACCGTTATTTGAAATGTATAAACCATTTACGAATATTATATTTAAAATACAGTCATGCCTTCATGAAATTGACTGTAATTGTGAACAAATTTGAGAATAGTAGTAATGTAGTAATAGAGTAATGACGAATGAAATCTAACACTATCTAGCTACACATACACATACCACAAATATGGAAAATAGAAAACAGTATAAATGATAAGGACAAAGAACTAAACAGGTGTATCGATCTAGAGACAAATTTTCATTAAATTTTGGGAGCCATTGATTATCCCATAAATTTCTACATTTCACTGCGGTCATAGGAAGTCACTATAAATGCCTTTGAATTCATGAAAATTTCAATGGTGATAAAGTTTATAGTATTAAAGTATGGTCTACACCAATCAGACTGGATACCATAACAATACAACAAATATTTCAATACGGTAGTACCATGTTCTAGTCTACCAGACATGAGAGTGATGATCTTATTGGAGGTGGAGATACCATATGTATATTGCAAGGCATCTGAGGAGGCAGAAGCCATGAATGTCAACTTGCGAATAGTTATGACAACTACCGTACTTCCCCGAGCATAAGCCCCTGCCCGAGTATAAACCCACCCCTATGTTTTTAGACATTCAACGAGTTGAAGGCATCCCCGAGTATAGGTCCAGGGTGTTTTTACCGGGCATCGATTACATTTATTAAAATATGCACGTAAAAGTTGTATTTCATTACATAGAAGTCGTGATTGGTATGGTAGTTTGGTTCCTGCTTTTACAAGAAAACTCGCATTAATTTCAGAGCGCATGGCGGACGAATGTACGGAACATGGTTCGCATCTTTTCTATTCTGTTATTTACTCAGGATGAACACTGATGTTGCAATACTAAAGTAATCCATATTTATTTTGAGTGGTAGTTTTCAAATCGTGAAAATGTGATCATCAAGTCATGAAACTGGTCATAGAACATCGTTTTACTTTTCCGAATAATCATGTCAATTGATACTATTGTGAACGAGCAAACCATTCTTCGACATGACTTGTTGGTGACTGTGAAAAGTTTAAATACTTCCTCCAACCTCAGTTTACCTTTCAATCAAAGAAAGCTTAGAAAGAACTCCCATGTGCTGAGAGTATTGGAGACACATTAAACATAATTTGAAATTACTTAGCTGAAAACTAATTATGCAAATCAGAAAATTAACATGAACAGATTTGATTGTAAAACTAATGAGGTCTGCGCAATGTAACAAAAACTCTATGTACCAAGTTTAATTGAAATGTGATTAGAACCAAAAAATTATGAATTATTATGCTAATTAGGGAAATAATATGAACAGAGTTTTACCCCAAACTAATTAGGTTTGTACATTGTTCTAGAGCATCTTTGTACTAAGTTTCATTAAAATGGAAATTAGTACTTTAGATATCAGTGTGAAAGCTTAAAATTGGTTAATTATGCAAATTGGGTAATTATTATGTACAGATTTTAACCCACAATTATCCAGGTCTGTCTATTGTCCTACAGCATCCATGTATAAACATTCATTGATATGTGATGATTAGTACCTGAGATATCAGTGTGAAAGTTGGAAATCGGTTAATTATGCAAATTAGGTGATTAATATGCACAAATATTTACCAAAAACTAATTGGGTCTCTGCATAATTCTAGATTCATTGAAATGTGATGATTAGTACTTTAGATG